AAAGCCTAGGGAACGAATGGATTTGTCAGTTAACCCTTTGAGGGTTTCGGACGTACTAGTATGGCTTACGACCCAGGGTTTTTGACGTACTAGTATGCCTGGAAATAAATGGTATATAATACCGACACAATGGAAATATAAACACATATGCAGTATAATGTGATCCTTTATTGACTACGTTTCGCCCACACAGTGGGCTTTTTCAAGTCACAAACAGAACTACCTGGGGTGGAAGGAACGCGAGTATTTATAGTCAGGTGAGTATTTATAGTATGCCTAAATTCTAGCGCCCTCAAATCTAGTGGGAGGAAGCTGGTAGGCCTCCATATGAAAGAATGGGTCTATGTGGTCAGTGTGCACAGTATAAAAAAAATCCTGCAGCACACAGTGCATAATGAGAAAAAAAAAACTTTGACCGTTTTTTTGGAATAAAACAGCGATTTTGCACTGTATTTTCGTATGGTATTTATTGTTGTATTCTAGTTTTCTTGGTCTCATTTTATAGAAGAAACATATCACAGAAATTGAGATGATCTTGACTGGTTTTGCAATGAAAAGTACCTTGAAATTGAGCTCAAAGTAGCAGAAATGTTCGATTTTTACCAAAGTTCAAAAGTAAACAAATCATGCCAAGCGTCTAATACACGTCAACTAGTGAGTCTAATATTCTTTTGCAAGTGCGCCAATATGATTCATACCATTTTTTACACTAATGCAGTAGTCTGCATAACAGTTAAAACTTCTTTTTTTGTGAGAATAAAAAATTTAAAGTGGAAAGCAAAAGGGAAAGTTAAAAGGGGCCCTTTTGACGTGACAATGAAAAAGGGAAAAAGTCATTTTTGTGCCACGAATGGGATTTCTTGTTTTGTTTTTGGACCCTATTCGGAAAAATTTGGAAACTTTGAAATTTGTGTGAAATTGGGCAAAAAATTGGGGAAATTCTGACCATGTATGGTTTGTTGAAATTTGGGAAATGGGGGGTTTTTTTTGCACTCATTTTAAAAGAAAAAATGGGAAAAATCCTACGAAAAAATTAATGTTTTTTTTCAAATTTGGGGCAAGTGGGGCGGCCCGAAAATTTGGGGGTCAAAGTTGGGCCCAAAAACCCCCGATCCGTAAGCATCGTCAAAACCCCCTAAAATTGCGAGAGGGATTAAATTCCCCCAAGTTTTCCAACAAAAATTTTAAATTTTTTGGTGTCATTATGATCGGGAAAAGATTCTCTATCTTTTCATAAGCAAAATTTTTTTTTTTTTTAAATTTGGCCGACCCTGAGAACGAGTCTCAGAGAGGGCCTTTCGACCCTCAAAGGGTTAAAAACAGAGTAGGGAAGTTGGTAGATGGGGAGATGGAGGTATTGGGTAGATGGCAGGAATATTTTGAGGAACTTTTAAATGTCGACGAAGTAAAGGAGGCGGTAATTACATGCATTGGCCAGGGAGGTATACCATCTTTTAGGAGTGAAGAAGAGCAGGATGTGAGTATGGGGGAGGTGCATGAGGCATTACGTAGAATGAAAGGGGGTAAAGCAGCTGGAAGTGACGGGATCATGACAGAAATTTTAAAAGCAGGGGGGGATGTAGTGTTGGAGTGGTTGTTATTTTTTGTTTAATAAATGTATGAAAGAGGGGAAGGTACCTAGGGATTGGCAGAGAGCATGTATAATTCCTTTATATAAAGGGAAGGGAGATAAAAGAAATTGTAAAAATTATAGGGGAATAAGTTTACTGAGTATACCAGGAAAAGTGTATGATAGGGTTATTATTGAAAGAATTAGAGGCAAGACAGAATGTAGGTTTGCAGATGAGCAAGGAGGTTTTAGAGTGGGTAAGGGATGTGTAGATTAAGTGTTTACATTGAAGCATATATGTGAACAGTATTTACATAAAGGTATGTGAACAGTATTTAAATAAAGGTAAGGAAGTTTTCATTGTATTTATGGATTTTGAAAAGGCATATGATAGAGTGGATAGGGGAGCAGTGTGGCAGATGTTGCAAGTATATGGAGTAGGTAGTAAGTTGCTAAATGCTGTAAAACGTTTTTATGAGGATAGTGAGGCTCAGGTTAGGGTGTGTAAAAGAGAGGGAGACTACTTCTTGGTAAAAGTAGGTCTTAGACAGGGATGTGTAATGTCACCATGGTTGTTTAATATATTTATAGATGGGGTTGTTTAAAAAAAGTAAATGCTATGGTGTTTTGGGGGGAGGGGTGGGATTAAATTATGGGGGAATCAAATACAAGATGGGAATTGACACAGTTACTTTTTGCTGATGATACTGTGCTTATGGGAGATTCTAAAGAAAAGTTGCAAAGGTTAGTGGACAAGTTTGGGAGAGTGTGTAAAGGTAGAAAGTTGAAAGTGAACATAGAAAAGAGCAAGGTGGTGAGGGTATCAAGTGATTTAGATAAAGAAAAATTTGATATCAAATTGAAGAGGAGTATGGAAGAAATGAATGTTTTCAGATATTTGGGAGTTGATGTGTCAACGGATGGATGTATGAAGGATGAGGTTAACCATAGAATTGATGAAGGAAAGAAGGTGAGTGGTGCATTGAGGTGGAGACAAAAAACATTGTCTATGGAGGCAAAGAAGGAATGTATGAAAGAATAGTGGTACCAACACTCTTTTATGGGTGTGAAGCTTGGGTTGTAAATGCTGCAATGAGGAGGCGGTTGGAGGTGGTGAAGTCCTGTCTAAGGGCAATGTGTAGTGTAAATATTATGCAGAGAATTAGGAGTGTGGAAATTAGGAGGTGTGGAGTTAATAAAGTATTAGTCAGAGGGCTGAAGAGGGGTTGTTTAGGTGGTTTGGTCATTTAGAGAGAATGGATCAAAGTAGAATGACATGGAGAGTGTATAAATCTGTAGGGGAAGAAAGGCAGGGTATGGGTTGTCCTCGAAAAGGTTGGAGGGAGGGGGTAAAGGAGGTTTTGTGGGCGAGGGGCTTGGACTTCCAGCAAGCATATGTGAGTGTGTTAGATAGGAGTGAATGGAGACAAATGGTATTTGGGGCCTGACGAGCTGTTGGAGTGTGAGCAGGGTAATATTTAGTGAAGGGATTCAGGGAAACCGGTTATTTTTATATAGCCGGACTTTAGTACTGGAATTGGGAAGTACAATGCCTGCACTTTAAAGGAGGGGTTTGGGATATTGGCTGTTTGGAGGCATATGTTGTGTATCTTTATATGTATATGCTTCTAAACTGTTGTGTTCTGTGCACCTCTGCAAAAGCAGTGATTATGTATGAGTGAGGTGAAAGTGTTGAATGATGGTGAAAGTATTTTCTTTTTGGGGATTTTCTTTCTTTTTGGGTCACCCTACCTCGGTGGAAGATGGCTGATTTGTTAAAAAAAAAAAAATGTATATATGTATTTCAAACATGCCTGTGAAGGCTTACTCAGCCCTGTAACAACTTCAGACAGTATTACCCAGGCTGGCTCCTCCTCAGGAAAATTAGTGAATAGAAAAAGAAATAATAACAGACAAACATAAACACTTTATTATATAGAAAATATAAAACACTTAAATATGAAATATTAATCCTACATTAAAGAAAATGAAAAATGAAAAATATAAATGATAACTGAATTCAACGCTAATATATATAGGGGTGTCTGGTGTTGGTGACACTGAGTGTTGTTGAAATCGTAGCAGTTGCTGATGATGGGGGGGGTCTCAGGTGTTGGTTACAACCCACCGGTTCGTTCTTCACAGTATAGCCTTGAGTATTATATCCCAATGACAGGAAAGCAGGTTCTTTACCACTGCAATGATGAGGGGTTACGTCCTGCAATTTCATACAGGTGCACAGGTAATTAAATCCAAAAAGGGGAAGTCTCAGGATGTTAGTCCATCTCCATCAGTTCTGCTCATTGATTGGCAGGTGACCCTCTCAGTCATCCAAGAGTAGTGCTGGGAGCTGTGAGTCTAGTGATTACTGTTTGGACCAGAGCCCCACACGTCACCTTTCGGGGGGGGGGGAAGAAGGAGGGGAAGGGATAGCGGGAGCTAGACTGACCCTACCTTAACAAGCAGCCGGCAGTCAAACTATCACTTTCGGGGTGGGGGAAAAAAGGCGGGAATAGCGGGAGCTTGACTTACCCTACCTTAACAAGTAGCCGGCAATGAAACTATCACTTTCGGGGAGGGGAAAAAAGGCGGGAATAGAGGGAGCTTGACTTACCCTACCTTAACAAGTAGCCGGCAATGAAACTATTGTTACTATATACTCCCTCTCTACTCCTATCTATTGCACTTTTCCCTCACAATGCCACTAAAAATATATACCATGCCACCAGGAGGCCTGGTCACAGACCGGGCCGCGGGGGCGTTGACCCCCGGAACTCTCTCCAGGTAAACTCCAGGTAAACCTGTGGCCTAGTGGCAAAAGCTCTCGCTTCATATGGTGAGGGTCTGGGTTCGATTCTCAGTGAGGGTAGAAGCATTGGGTGTGTTTCCTTACATTGGTTGTCTGTGTTCCCCATCAGTATTGTGGGTACCTGGGTGTTAGTTGGCTGGTGTGGGTCGCATCCTGGGACAAAATTGACCTAATTTGCCTGAAATGCTCTGCATAACAACCGGCTTTCTATATAGTAGTATGTCATTGATGTCAGCTAGGCCTGTATACCTTGTACATGTACTTGTAGAAATAAAGATATTGTTATTATATATTATATTATTATTAATAAAGTATTATAGGCATATTTGTAATTTAGATGCTAATTTTTGTTTTTTCAACATACTGGTCGTCTCCCACCAAGGCAAGGTGATTCGAAAAGGAAGAAAACCTCATAAACCTTTTCTTCTTTTAACATTTAGTAATTCATACAGAAAAAGAGGTTACTAGCCCCTTGGTCTCGGCATTTTAGTCGCCTCTTACAACACTAATGGTTTACGGTGGAAGAATTCCTAGGTGCTTATAAATGGTATAGTTTTTATGAAACACACAACTTTCAACATAATGTCATAATGTGTGAGTAATAAGTGTGTTCTGCTGCAGATGTTGATGAATGTGCTGAGAATCTGCACACCTGCCACTCTCTTAATGAAATATGTATCAATGAGATTGGTAAATATCGATGCGAGCCGACCAGCACCAACGAAGTTGATGAAGGAAGCAAATTTGAGATCCTAACCCACGCTACCTTCCAAACTCCAGTTCAGGAATGTCCTGAAGGGTTTGGTTTTGACCTGAACACTAGTCAATGTCTTGGTAAGTGCTATGTACAGTATATACATACATCTTTAAATTCAAAAATGTACATTCTACAAAATTCACCAGCTGTTTTCATCCACAAACATTGATATATTATTCTATACATTCTCTTGATTTTTATCCCTAACAGGGAGGGGTGCTTTGAAGCTGGTGAAGTGCTCTAGATTCAAGGGATTGGAGCAATCCTACCCTTGGATCAAGTCTAATTGCCTTCCAATCCCTAGGCTCTATATAACTCCTGTGGGTTCTGCACTTTTTCATAAATATAGCAATAGTTACCTCTAATTCCATGGGTGCAGGTAGAGTTATGATTTTAAAATTATTTGCAACATTTTCAGAGCAGTAATCCTCATAATCTTATGTATCCCTTATGGCACTGAATGCCCTCACTGCTTGGACTACCTTCTTAAATAACCTTGACACTATCTTACTAAAACATACCTGTGCCAGTGGTTCACACAAAACTGCATGGCTCGTAATCTTTCATAATACTTTTTTTTTTGTACCCGGCCCCCTACACAACTCTGTTTGCTGTTCCTTACATTGCTCCTCACTGTTCCTTACAGAGCTCCTCACTGTTCCTTACAGAGCTCCTCACTGTTCCTTACAGAGCTCCTCACTGTTCCTTACAGAGCTCCTCACTGTTCCTTACAGAGCTTCTAACTGTTCCTTACATAGCACCTCACTGTTCCTTACAGAGCTCCTTATCATTCCTTACAGAGCTCCTCACTGTTCCTTACATAGCACCTCACCATTTCTTACAGAGCTCCTCACTGTTTCTTACAGAGAGCTCCTTACCATTCCTTACATAGCTCCTCACTTTTCCTTACATAACTCCTCACAGCACCAATGGTTAATACAGTCAAAGTACACTTCAGATCACTATATTTCACCGGACTGTCCTCAGTAGCAACTCACTCTACTAAGCACCATATTGCCAATTTATGATTCCACTTCAATGTCCAAGATCATTATTTGCAGTTCTTTAACCTATTTAGTGTTCATTTCTACTAACAGTCCCAGATGATACTACACTGGTGCTCATTACTTCTTCATTACACAGTACTTATCTTTACACACTGTACAATCCTTTAAGGCACTCAGTGATGATCCAGTGCCACTGCTTCCTTGGGGACTTATTATGACTATACCTCCCACAGTTCTCACTCTTCCTGTATTTTACTACACACACACACACACACACACACACACACACACACACACACACACACACACACACACACACACACACACACACACACACACACACACACACACACACACACACACACACACACCACACACACACCACACACACACACACACACACACACACACACACACACACACACACACACACACACACACACACACACACACACACACACACACACACACACCAGGAGCTCGGACTCGACCCCCGCAACCTCAACTAGGTGAGTACACACACACACACACACTGGGCAACTACCTGAGAAATGGAAGACAGCTAATGTAGTCCCCATATTTAAGAAAGGAAACAGAAACAAGGCACTAAACTACAGACCTGTGTCTCTGACATGTATTGTGTGCAAAGTCATGGAGAAGATTATCAGGAGGAGTGTGGTCGAACACCTGGAAAGGAACAAGATTATAAATGAAAACCAGCATGGGTTCATGGAAGGCAAATCTTGTATCACAAACCTCCTGGAGTTTTATGACAAGGTAACAGAAGTAAGACACGAGAGAGAGGGTTGGGTAGATTGCGTTTTCCTAGACTGCAGGAAGGCCTTTGACACAGTTCCCCACAAGAGATTAGTGCAGAAGCTGGAGGATCAGGCACACGTAAAAGGAAGGGCACTGCAATGGATAAGGGAATACCTGACAGGGAGGCAGCAACGAGTCATGGTACGTGAAGAGGTATCACAGTGGGCGCCTGTTACGAGCGGGGTCCCACAGGGGTCAGTTCTAGGACCAGTGCTATTTTTGATATATGTGAACGACATGATGGAAGGAATAGACTCTGAAGTGTCCCTGTTCGCAGATGACGTGAAGTTGATGAGAAGAATTAAATCGGACGAGGATGAGGCAGGACTGCAAAGAGACCTGGACAGGCTGGACATGTGGTCCAGTAACTGGCTTTTCGAATTTAATCCAGCCAAATGCAAAGTCATGAAGATTGGGGAGGGGCAAAGAAGACCGCAGACAGAGTATAGGCTAGGTGGACAAAGACTACAGACCTCACTCAGGGAGAAAGACCTTGGGGTGACCATAACACCGAGCACATCACCGGAGGCACACATCAACCAAATAACCGCTGCAGCATACGGGCGCCTGGCAAACCTGAGAATAGCGTTCCGATACCTTAATAAGGAATCGTTCAAGACACTGTACACTGTGTATGTTAGGCCCATACTGGAGTATGCAGCACCAGTCTGGAACCCACACCTGGTCAAGCACGTCAAGAAGTTAGAGAAAGTACAAAGGTTTGCAACAAGGCTAGTCCCAGAGCTCAAGGGAATGTCGTACGAGGAAAGGTTAAGGGAAATTGGACTGACGACACTGGAGGACAGAAGGGTCAGAGGAGACATGATAACAACATACAAGATACTACGGGGAATAGACAAGGTGGACAGAGATAGGATGTTCCAGAGAGGGGACACAGGGACAAGGGGTCGCAACTGGAAGCTGAAGACTCAGACGAGTCACAGGGACGTTAGGAAGTATTTCTTCAGTCATAGAGTTGTCAGCAAGTGGAATAGCCTAGCAAGTGAAGTAGTGGAGGCAGGAACCATACATAGTTTTAAGAAGAGGTATGACAAAGCTCAGGAAGCAGAGAGAGAGAGGATCCAGTAGCGATCAGTGAAGAGGCGGGGCCAGGAGCTGAGTCTCGACCCCTGCAACCACAATTAGGTGAGTACACACACACACACACACACACACACACACACACACACACACACACACACACACACACACACACACACACACACACACACACACACACACACACACACACACACACACACACACACACACACATCATGAAAGTAATAGGAGAAGACGACATGACCCAGCTGGAAAATTTTCGGAGAATAGGGGGGTTTGTAAAAAAAAGAACCCAGCCAGTGAAAGTGACCTTCAAGGCAGAATCGACTCGGAACAGGATCCTGCAAGGAGAAAGCACGATTAAGGGACATGCCGGCATACAGGAAGGTGTATCTTGACCGTGACAGAACACAAGCAGAAAGGCAGAAACAGAGAGAGATGGTACAAAGGCGAAAGGAGGAAAGAGAGGGGATGGAGAAGACAGACAGGAGATCCCAGACACAGGAAGATCAAATACAGCCTCCCTCAACAACTTCCTATAGAAGCCTCCCAACCAGGTCAACCCCAGTGCAACCAAACACTCTAAACCAAAACACCCATGCCACATCCAATGCCCCACCCACTGCATTACAAACTCCACCCCCACAGCAACCACCCATAGTTCCTTATCAGGTCTCCCACTTCCCCAACCCCAATACACCTCCCAGACCACAATCTTAGAAAAGAAGTTGAAGGTGTGGTATACAAATGCAGATGGAATAACAAATAAGTATGAGGAGTGGCACGAAAGAATCAAGGAGACATCCCCAGACATAATAGCACTCACAGAAACAAAACTCACCAGAATAATAACAGATTCAATCTTTCCACCCGGATATCAAATCCTCAGGAAAGACAGAGGAGGAGAGGGGGAGGAGGAGTTGCACTGCTCATTAAAAACCAGTGGGGGTTTGAGAAAATGGAAGGAATGGATGGCACGGGCGAAAGGGACTACTTAGTAGGAACAATCCAGTCTGAGGGACATAAGGTGATAATTGCAGTAATGTACAACCCACCACAGAACTGCAGGAGGCCAAGAGAAGAATACAATGAGAGCAACAGAGCAATGGTCGACACACTAGCCGAGGTGGCCAGGAGAGCACACATGGGGGGAGCAAAGTTACTAGTTATGGGTGATTTCAATCACAAGGAGATTGACTGGGAAAACCTGGAGCCCCATGGGGTCCCGAAACATGGAGAGCCAAGATGACGGATGTGGTACTGGAAAACCTCATGCATCAACATGTTAGAGACACTACCAGAGAGAGAGGAGAGGATGAACCAGCAAGACTGGACCTTGTATTCACCTTGAGTAGTTCTGACATCGAGGATATCATGTATGAAAGGCCCCTGGGAGCTAGTGATCATGTGGTTCTGTGCTTCGACTACATAGTTGAGCTCCAAGTGGAGAGAGCAGCAGGAATAGGGTGGGAAAACCAAACTACAAAAGGGGTAACTACTCAGGCTTGAGGAACTTCTTTCAAGACATTCAGTGGGAGAGGGAACTGACAGGAAAACTAGTACAAGAAATGATGGATTATGTGGCAACAAAATGCAAGGAGGCAGAGGAGAGGTTTGTTCCTAAGGGAAACAGAAATAATGGGAAGAACAGAACGAGTCCTTGGTTCACCCAAAGGTGTAGGGAGGCAAAAACTAGGTGTACTAGAGAATGGAAAAGGTACAGAAGACAGAGAACTCAGGAAAATGAAGAGATTAGCCAAAGAGTCAGAAACGAATATGCTTAAATAAGAAGGGAGGCTCAGCGGCAATACGAAAATGACATAGCATTGAAAGTCAAGACTGACCCGAAGCTGTTGTACAGCCACATCAGGAGGAAAACAACAGTCAAGGACCAGGTAATCAGACTGAGGAAGGTGATGGGGAATTCACAAGAAACGACCGGGAGGTATGTCAGGAGCTCAACACAAGATTTAAAGAAGTATTTACAGTGGAAACCAGTAGGACTCCAGGAAATCAGAGCAGGGGGGTGCACCAGCAAGTGCTGGATGAGGTACATATAACCAAGGAGGAGGTGAAGAAGCTGCTATGCGAACTTGACACCTCAAAGGCGGTGGGACCAGACAACATCTCTCCGTGGGTCCTTAAAGAGGGAGCAGAGATATTGTGTGTACCGTTAACAAAGATCTTCAACACATCATTTGAAACTGGGCAACTCCTGAGTATGGAAGATGGCAAATGTAGTCCCAATTTTAAAAAGGGAGACAGACATGAGGCACTAAACTACAGACCTGTATCACTAACATGTATAGTATGCAAGGTCATGGAGAAGATCATCAGGAGGAGAGTGGTGAGCACCTGAAAGAAACAAGTGTATAATTGACAACCAGCATGGTTTCAGGGGGAAAATCCTGTGTCACAAACCTACTAGAGTTTTATGACAAGGTGACAGAAGTAAGACAAGAGAGAGAGGGGTGGATCGACTGCATTTTTTTGGACTGCAAGAAGGCCTTCGACACAGTTCCTCACAAGAGGTTACTGCAAAAGCTAGAGGATCAGCACACATAACAGGAAAGGCACTGCAATGGATCAGAGAATACCTGACAGGGAGCAACAACGAGTCATGGTACGTGACGAGTGTCAGAGTGGGTGCCTGTGACAAGCGGGGTTCCACAGGGGTCAGTCCTAGGACCTGTGCTGTTCTTGGTATATGTGAATGACATAACGGAAGGATAGACTCAGAAGTGTCCTTGTTTGCGGATGATGTGAAGTTAATGAGAAGAATCAAATCGGATGAGGATCAGGCAGACTACAAAGAGACCTGGACAGCTACAAGCCTGGTCCAGCAACTGGCTCCTTGAGTTTAACCCTGCCAAATGCAAAGTCATGAAGATTGGGGAAGGGCAAAGAAGACAGCAGACACAATATAGTTTAGATGGCCAAAGTCTGCAAACCTCACTCAAGGAAAAAGATCTGGGGTGAGTATAACACCGAGCATATCTCCCGAGGCGCACATCAATCAGATAACTGCTGCAGCATACGGCGCCTGGCAAAACCTACGGATAGCGTTCCGATACCTCAGTAAGGATTCGTTCAGACTCTGTATAACCATTTACGTCAGGCCCATACTGGAGTATGCAGCACCAGTTTGGAATCCACACCTAGTCAAGCACGTCAAGAAATTAGAGAAAGTGCAAAGGTTTGCAACAAGACAAGTCCCAGAGCTACGGGGATTGTCCTACGAAGAAAGGTTGAGGGAAATCGGCTTGACGACTCTGGAGGCAAGGAGGGTCAGGGGAGACATGATAAACGACATATAAAATACTGCGCGGAATAGACGAGGTGGACAAAGACGGGATGTTCCAGAGATGGGACACAGACACAAGAGGTCACAATTGGAAGTTGAAGACTCAGATGAATCAAAGGGATGTTAGGAAGTATTTCTTCAGTCATAGAGTAGTCAAGCCGTGGAATAGCCTAGAAAGTGAAGTAGTGGAGGCGGGAACCATACATAGTTTTAAGGCGAGGTATGATAAAGCTCATGGAGCAGGGAGAGAGAGGACCTAGTAGCATTTAGTGAAGAGGCGGGGCCAGGAGCTGTGAATCGACCCCTGCAACCACAAATAGGTGAGTACAAATAGGTGAGTACAAATAGGTGAGTACACACACACATAGCATCAAAAGTAAAGACTGACCCGAAGCTGTTGTACAGCCACATCAGGAGGAAAACAACAGTCAAGGACCAGGTAATCAGACTGAGGAAGGGTGATGGGGAATTCACAAGAAATGACCGGGAGGTATGTCAGGAGCTCAACACAAGATTTAAAGAAGTATTTACAGTGGAAACCAGTAGGACTCCAGGAAATCAGAACAGGGGGGCACACCAGCAAGTGCTGGATGAGGTACATATAACCAAGGAGGAGGTGAAGAAGCTGCTATGCGAACTTGACACCTCAAAGGCGGTGGGACCAGACAACATCTCTCCATGGGTCCTTAAAGAGGGAGCAGAGATATTGTGTGAGCCATTAACAAAGATCTTCACCACATCATTTGAAACTGGGCAACTCCCTGAGTATGGAAAATGGCAAATGTAGTCCCAATTTTTAAAAAGGGAGACAGACATGAGGCACTAAACTACAGACCTGTATCACTAACATGTATAGTATGCAAGTTCATGGAGAAGATCATCAGGAGGAGAGTGGTGGGGCACCTGGAAAGAAACAAGTGTATAATTGACAACCAGCACGGTTTCAGGGAAGGAAAATCCTGTCACAAACCTACTAGAGTTTTATGACAAGGTGACAGAAGTAAGACAAGAGAGAGAGGGGTGGATTGACTGCATATTTTTGGACTGCAAGAAGGCCTTCGACACAGTTCCTCACAAGAAGTTACTGCAAAAGCTAGAGGATCAGGCACACATTACAGGAAAGGCACTGCAATGGATCAGAGAATACCTGACAGGGAGGCAACAACGAGTCATGGTACGCGACGAGGTGTCAGAGTGGGCGCCTGTGACAAGCGGGGTTCCACAGGGGTCAGTCCTAGGACCCGTGCTGTTCTTGGTATATGTGAATGACATAACGGAAGGGATAGACTCAGAAGTGTCCTTGTTTGCAGATGATGCGAAGTTAATGAGAAGAATCAAATCGGATGAGGATCAGGCAGGACTACAAAGAGACCTGGACAGGCTACAAGCCTGGTCCAGCAACTGGCTCCTTGAATTTAACCCTGCCAAATGCAAAGTCATGAAGATTGGGGAAGGGCAAAGAAGACCGCAGACACAATATAATTTAGATGGCCAAAGACTGCAAACCTCACTCAAGGAAAAAGATCTGGGGGTGAGTATAACACCGAGCATATCTCCTGAGGCGCACATCAATCAGATAACTGCTGCAGCATACGGGCGCCTGGCAAACCTACGGATAGCGTTTCGATACCTCAGTAAGGATTCGTTTAAGACTCTGTATACCATTTACGTCAGGCCCATACTGGAGTATGCAGCACCAGTTTGGAATCCACACCTAGTCAAGCACGTCAAGAAATTAGAGAAAGTGCTAAGGTTTGCAACAAGACAAGTCCCAGAGCTACGGGGATTGTCCTACGAAGAAAGGTTGAGGGAAATCGGCCTGACGACATTGGAGGACAGGAGGGTCAGGGGAGACATGATAACGACATATAAAATACTGCGCGGAATAGACAAGGTGGACAAAGACGGGATGTTCCAGAGAAGGGACACAGACACAAGAGGTCACAATTGGAAGTTGAAGACTCAGATGAATCAAAGGGATGTTAGGAAGTATTTCTTCAGTCATAGAGTAGTCAAGCCGTGGAATAGCCTAGAAAGTGACGTAGTGGAGGCGGGAACCATACATAGTTTTAAGGCGAGGTATGATAGAGCTCATGGGGCAGGGAGAGAGAGGACCTAGTAGCAATCAGCGAAGAGGCGGGGCCAGGAGCTGTGACTCGACCCCTGCAACCACAAATAGGTGAGTACACACACACACACACACACACACACACACACAAACATATGCACAATGGACTGAAAGGTCCTCCATTTTCCTTTCTGGACATCAAACTCATTCTTACCACTCAAAGTGAATAACCAGCCAGACCAACACAAACTTTGCTATCATTCTCAGTCCAGCGTGTCTTCACCAGCCTGTGATGTTTCATTGCACATATTCACCACACATCCATCAGCAGTGGTTAGCTACCTTTGTAACAGTATCTTCGAAGGAGTATCAAGGAAAGAAAGCATTTGTGATGTATTTTAAGGTGTAATCATAAATCAGTTTTTTAATGTAAAATGCTAGGATTGAGTGCCAGGGTGATCTTACTCAAAAACACACAAATATAAAAATGTGATTGTAGTTATAATTGTATTACTGTATAGTGTGTTGTAATAATAATAATATTTATATATTTTGTAGGTAAAACTGTATTACTGTATTGCACTAAAATAACAGTAGATTGTCACTTTTAAAACAAACATTTGAATTTAACATTTTGAATTGCTCTCATCACTTCATATAAATTTCATGTGTTTTCATCAGATATTGATGAGTGCAGTACGAATTTAGATGATTGTTCTGTATCTGAGCGATGCATTAACACCCTTGGAAGCTATACATGTAGGTTGCGCCGTCGCTGTTCTGCTGGCTATGCCACTGACCTTATAACGGGAGAATGTAAAGGTAATTAAAATATTTTATATGGTTTAGACATTTAGGGAAGATGGAGCAATATATGTTGACTTGGAGGGTGTATAAATCTGTATTGGAAAGAAGGCAGGTAGGGATTGCACTAGGAAAGTTTGGAGGGAGGGGGTAAAAGAGTTATTTTTTATGGAAGTGACTTGGATATCCAGCAAGTGTATGTGTGAGTGTGTTTGATAGGAGTGAGTGGAGGCAAGTGGTTTTTATGATGATGTGTTGTTGGAGTGTGAGCAAGGTAACATTTATGAAGGGATTCAGGAAAACTGGTTAGCCTGGCTTGAGTCCTGGAGGTAGGAAGTACAGTGCCTGCACTCTGAAGGAGGGATGGGATTCTTTGCAGATTTGAACTGTAGCATCAGCACCCTTCTGACAAGGAAGTGATGGAATGAGTGATGGTGAAAGCGGTTCTTCTTTTTTGGGTTACCCTCCCTTGGTGGGAGACAGCTAGTTTGATAAAAAAATCTAAGCATGAGAATTTACAGATGGATAATTGATATAACATTTATGTGAAGTTTAATTTATATTTAATAAGTGTTTTTTTAATACTATTAGTGAAATGTTGGCAGATAATTCTGGGTCAATATTAGTACTGAGTGTCCAGTAGACATAGTGTGCACAGTAGAAAGTGTGAATGTTAAGTCAGTTTGAACCGTTGAACAAGGGGGTGTGTTATATCTGGAGCCTGAATGAGTAATAATTTTGAGAGTTGATTTTTTGCTGAATAACAATAAGTTAAAGGTGATTATCTGTTGTTGATCCCCATGCAGAGATACCATAGATGAGGTATGAATAGATTAACCCTTAAACTGTCCAAACGTAGATCTACGTTTTTTCAACATTTGAAAGTGTAAAAAACGTAGATCCTCTTTTTTTTTTCATTTGAAAACGTGTAAAAATCTTTGATCTACTTTTTTTTTTTTGTTATATTTGAAAATATGTAAAAAAATGTAGATCTACTTTTGGAGCACTATGCATGTGAACGTAAATCTGTTTGGACAGTTTAAGGGTTAAAGAGTAGTACAGAGTGGACAAAACATTCTATAAACAAATTAGTACATGTATTATAATGTATTAGTGTACTCAGCAGAGCTGCAGTATAAGCATTGCAAAATGTTTAGGGTATTCAGAGCACTATCTCCTCTCCTTCAGATGTGGATGAGTGTGCCACTGGCATTGCAAGCTGCCTGCCAGGCCAAATTTGCTTTAATACTGAAGGTGCCTTTGAGTGCCGTGTTGAATGTCAAGATGGGTTTAGATATGATCCGACGTGAGTATTTATCATTTCCTACTTCTCAGTTCTTCCATAAAATAGATTCATATACTGTACTTTGCTGTATTAAATATGTTGAACTGAAAACTGTCTGTGCCTCTAGAGATGCTGCAGTGTGCGTAGATATTGATGAATGCCTTGAATCGCCGTGCGAATTTGGAAAGCTATGTACCAACATAGAGGGCTCATATATCTGCACGTCTGTCACCACTCAAAGTACAAGAACTACAACATTCACAACAACATCAGCAACTACAACAACCACCAGTAGACCACCTAGTTCCTGTCCATCTGGATTTGGACGAAATCCTAATAGTTTGCAATGTGAAGGTAAATTAATACCTTGATTTTTCATATTACAAATATTAATTTGTGAATTATTTATTATTTTTTTATTAACACATCGGCTGTTTCCCAACAAGGTAGGGTGGCCCAAAAAAAGAAAAACTTTCACCATCATTCACTCCATCACTGTCTTGCCAGAGGCATGCTTACACTACAGTTTTAAAACTGCAACATTAACACCCATCCTTCAGAGTGCAGACACTGTACTTTCCATCTCCAGGACTCAAGTCTGGCCTGCTGGTTTTCCTGAATCCCTTCATAAATATTGCCCTGCTCACACTCCAACAGTATGTCAAGTCCTAAAAACCATTTTTCTCCATTCACTCCTATCTAACATGCTCACGCATGCTTGCTGGAAGTCCAAGCCCCTTGCACACAAAACCTCCTTTACCTCCACTGTCCAGCCTTTCTTAGGCTGACCTCTACCCCACCTTCCCTCCTCAGCCCTCTGGATAATAGTTTTGGTAATCCTGTACCTCCTCCTAATTTCCAATATACGAATTCTCCACGTTATATTCACACCACACATTGCCCTCAGACACAATCTCCACTGCCTCCAACCTTCTCCTTATTGTAACATTCACCACCCATGCTTTGTACCCATATACAGTAAGAGCATTGGTATAGCTATACTCTCATATAATCCCCTCTTTACTTCCATAGACGAAGTTTTTTGTCTCCACAGACTCCTCAGTGCACCACTTCCCTTTTTCTCCTTGTCAATTCTGTGATTCACCTCATCTTTCAATTTGTTAATTAATATTCACTTATTTACAGCAGTTTTAGGGATAGATTGATATATGAGTCTGTATAGCTAAATTGTTATAGCTGGTTATTTCATGGCTTGTAGAAATGCTGATATGTGCTTGTTATTTTACCTGTTTGATAAAAATATATAAAATCTAACAAACTTTACTTTTTTTTAACACACTGGCCGTCTCCCACTGAAGCAGAGTGACCCGAAAAGGAAACACTTTCACCATCATTTACACCATCACTGTCTTGCGAGAGGCACACATATATGACAGTTTAGATGTTTAGCCATGCACAGTTGTTTGCAGATGGAAGTTATCTTCTTGATGAAGGATTATGTACTTTTTTTGCCAACTCAAATGATCTTTGATAAGGGTGTAAAACAAGGGCACTTAACATGGCAAATCTTTATTGATAATATTTGTCATTTGTGAGCTTTATCAAATCCAAAAAGAGCTCAGTATATATCAGATGTTTAAATGTGAATAGCGTGTATATCATGTCAGGCAGGTACAGTAAACACTTGTATAATTTTGAAATTATGTACATCCCTGAAAATTATCTGTGATACACTCTGATCTATGACCTTTTACAAGATTTTATATGATCCTTTACTAGATATTGTATGACTTTTCATTAGATTGTGTGATCCTTCACTAGATATTGTATGACCTTTCACTAGATATTGTGCGATCATTCACTAGATATTGTATGATGCTTCACTAGACTTTGTGTGATCCTCCACTAGATATTGTATGATCCTTCACCAGATATTGTATGACCCTTCACTAGATTTTGTATGACCCTTCACTGAATATTGTATGATCCTTCCCTAGATATTGATGAATGTCGCAACCAAGTGTGTGAGCCAGAACAAAGCTGCCAGAACTCCTATGGATCTTACAGATGCATCTGGCTACCATGTGACCGAGGCTACACCAGAGACTCTCTCACTCATGAATGCCAAGGTGAGAATTCAGCAATAGAAGTAGTATTTGAATTATGCTGTGGATATTAGATAAGGTCAGGGCAGTGTACACCTACCCAAATCTCTTGCCCTGTATCCAGCATATATTACATAAATTTTAATCACATGTTTTGGAGAGAAAAAAGTTAAAATTTTGAGGAAGTATTTGACTCTGAATTTACTTAGAAATTTATTATAGAAGTTACTTAATCTAATATAAACTTCTTAAAAATTTCCAGTGGTTGTAACACAGCCCTCTCTTGTAAACCATTTCTCTGTTCCATGACTGTGAAGAACTATCTAGTATGTTTCAAGCACTTCTTTCATAGTTTACAGCTATGGCCTCTTATTCTACCTTTGAACATATTATATTTCCAAATAAAGTACAGAACTGTATTCATGTTGACACTGCTTCTCTCACTGTTTTGTGACAGATATTGATGAATGTGAAGAGGGACTTCATAGTTGTCAGGTAGGAGTGGAACAATGTGTTAACAACCCTGGGGGTCACACCTGCCAGCCTCAACCTTGTGCCTCAGGCTTCACTCGCGACTCACTTGACCCCAGACAGTGTATAGGTGAGATGAAATATATAGATATTAAAAAATTTATTTCACAAGTTCTGTAGGCTGGTATTTTGTATAAATTTATAAATATATTGCATCACTTTTTGTTGCACTTTCACAGCTTCCTTTCCTTTCCTTGGATCAAGCCTGATTACCTCCCATTCTGTAGGCATTGTATGACTTCTGCAGGTTTAGCGCTTCACCGTGAATATGTGTATAGCAAACCCTTAAGAAGACCCAAATAAAAAAAAAATTCAGCAAAACACAATTAAAAAACAGTAATATAATTGATTTCAGCTGCAAACTTCAGAGGCACAGAATGTAATTCATGAAAGGCTAGAGAATGACACACAAAAACCCTGGTGGACAAGCAGTGGGTAGTTTTTCCCTCCGTGCCAGCTTAGGCCTAATGGACAATGCCATTAATTATGGGGAAGGTCTGATGTCACCCCTTGTTGTGAGCCTACCCACACCACAAACAACTACTTTCTGGAAGCATTAAGTAACTGACCCATTTTGTTGATTGAACAGTTTTGGGTGTTATCATCATCCCTTCTAATTTCTGGATACTAACCATGGCACTCAGAAGAATGCTAGTATATTACTGAAGAAATTGAACAACACATACAGTAAATTTCTTTAGTGATATTTGGATCCCTAAAGCCTGATTGGCCAGAGTCCATGCTGCAGTTACAAGACAGATCAAACCTGCATAATTCCTTGTACTGAATGAATCACATAGGTCTACTGCATTATGAAATAAAAATTTTGTTTTAATTTAGATATTACTGTACTCCATGGGGAAGTGGAACAGAATTCTTCTCCGGAAACCATGTGTGTCGTAAGAGGCAACTAAAATGCCGGGAGCAAGGGACTGGTAACTCCTCCTGTATACATTACTAAATTTCAAAGAAGAAGCTTTTGTTTTTCCTTTTGGGCCACCCTGCCTCAGTGGGATACAGCCGGTTTGTTGAAAAAAGAAGAGATTACTGTACAGCTTCTCTTCACTTAGCAATGTACTCGTTTACTGATGCCTTGGACTTATGATGGGCTCTCTGACTAGTATGCATACCTAATAATATATATTAGAGCCAATTTCCTCAATTTTGTTTATTACAGTTGGCTATTTTTAAATGTATAAACATTTAAAAATAACCAAAAATGTTATAAATGGTACAAAGGTGACATTAAAATAATATCAAAGATGGTTGACACAAACTCGATACCATTATAGTATGTTGCTCACTTAGTGTCAGATTCGTTTAACGATGTGGTCTTAGGAACGGAACTCTGTCATTAAGTGAGGAGAAGCCGTACTTACTTCTGTGAGATAAATTTAAGGAAGCTACTGTTCCTTTGTATTATTATTCAGATACTCCTCACTTTATGATGGTTTGTCTTAAGATATTTTGACTTGACAGTGGTGCAATAGCGATACACATTCTGAACTGTACAGTACTTTACATTTATTGATAAGATATACTTGAATTCATTTATTTACTTTTCAGTACTGGTATTTAGTTATTTATAGTAATTATTTGTTTATTTACTCATTCAGTGATGGTAGTTATTTACTCTTTTATTTATTGTATCTTTCATTTTTTTTTTTTTTTTTTTTTTAACAAGTCGGCCGTCTCCCATTTGACTTACAATATTTTCAGCTTAAGATGGGTTCTTTGGAACGTAACTTCATTGTCAGTCGAGGAGCACCTGTATTAGTTTATAGGGAAAAAATAGGCAGGTGGAAATTTATATTTGTAATGTTATGACTGACTAAAATATTTAACCCTAGACATTTCTCATTCCATTAATCTTATTTTTATCATTTGACAAGATATCGACGAATGCAAGTTGGCACCCTGTGGCCCCGAGGAAGAATGTATCAACAGTAATGGGTCATTTAGGTGTCGGCATCTTACACCATGTAGCCCAGGCTTTAGAAGAGATGAAGAAAGCAAAGAGTGTAAAGGTAATATTATATAGTGGGACACTGTGTAATTTTATCTATCCGCAAAAGAGACTACCATAGTTATATTGGTTAGGAGATGTTTCTTATTAGGTCTTCTCTTCTGAGTGTTAGATTGGGTTTAAATGTTGCTTGCATTTGCATTCAGTATCTTTGTATCCTTGTGTACTAGAATAGGAATATATAATGTAATGAGGAAGCAAAGAGGAATCCTTCTTCCATAAGCTATGCGTGTCATAAGAGGTGACCACAGTGCCGGGAGCAAGGGGCTAGTAACCCCTTCTGTATAAATTACTAAATATAAAAAGAAGAAAAACTTTTGTTTCTTCTTTTCCAGGCCACCCTGCCTCAGTGGGAGACAGTCAGTGTGTTAAAAAAAATAGTAGTTTTGAATGTCCATGTATAATATAGTTGGATGAGATTATAGGAATATGTATATTGGTTGACTCTCCAAATCTTAATAACATGATTGTAAACATCCCGGAACAGATGAGAGTTGAATCCACGGCAAGCCATTCCTAAAATTAGCAGTCTAATGTGCTATCCACTGTACCATGCAGGCCTAATGAGATTCATCCAACTAAGTATATTTCTCTACACTAGTAAGGTTAGCATGGACCCCACTGTGATCATGCAGGTTTTCACAGATGAATCCCTACCAACATGGCTGTGGCAAACTCTAGCTTAAGTCCCTTCAAAGCTGTTATCAATGATTCATGAAATTGTTATACCATCATTATGTGTTAAGCTCAAGCATGTTTTCGTTGGGCCCAGGAGCTGCAGGAACTTTGGGGAAAGGGGATAAATCCTGGAGGTGGGAAGTACAGTATCTGCACTCGGGAAAAAGGTGGCGATGCGTCAGTTCAGAATCATTTAAATTGTAATATCTAAGCACTTCTGGTAAGACAAAGTTCTATTGACTGAATGATGGTGAACACATCCCCCCCCCCCCCTTTTTTTTTCTGGGCCACCCTACTGTGGTGAGAGACAGCTAGTGTGGTTACCAAAAGTATAATTCAAGAGGACTGAGGAGGGGTGTTGAGGCATTTTGGGCATTTTATGAGGATGGAGCAAAATGGGATGGCTAACAGGGTATAAAGTAGTCCCCCATATCCACAGGGGATACGTTCTAAGCCCTGTCATGGATACTCGAAACCACGATAGTAGCAAAACTTATACATGAGTTGTTTTTAATTTACATACTTTTTTTTTTTTTTTTCAACAAGTCGGCCGTCTCCCACCGAGGCAGGGTGACCCAAAAAAAGAAAGAAAATCCCCAAAAAGAAAATACTTTCATCATCATTCAATACTTTCACCACACTCACACATTATCACTGTTTTTGCAGAGGTGCTCAGAATACAACAGTTTAGAAGCATACGCATATAAAGATACACAACATATCCCTCCAAACTGCCAATATCCCAAACCCCCCCTTTAAAGTGCAGGCATTGTACTTCCCATTTCCAGGACTCAAGTCCGACTATATGAAAATAACCGGTTTCCCTGAATCCCTTCACTAAATATTACCCTGCTCACACTCCAACAGATCGTCAGGTCCCAAGTACCATTCGTCTTCATTCACTCCTATCTAACATGCTCACGCATGCTTGCTGGAAGTCCAAGCCCCTTGCCCACAAAACCTCCTTTACCCCCTCTCTCCAACCCTTTTGAGGACGACCCCTACCCCTTCTTCCTTGGTGCTACTATACTTTCATACATTCCCTTCTTTGCCTCCATAGATAACGTTTTTTGACTCCACATATACCTCAACGCACCACTCACCTTTTTTCCCTCATCACTTCTATGATTAACCTCATCCTTCATAAATCCATCCGCCGACACGTCAACTCCCAAGTATCTGAAAACATTCACTTCTTCCATACTCCTCCTCCCCAATTTGATATCCAATTTTTCTTTATCTAAATCATTTGATACCCTCATTACCTTACTCTTTTCTATGTTCACTTTCAACTTTTTACCTTTACACACATTCCCAAACTCATCCACTAACCTTTGCAGTTTTTCTTTAGAATCTCCCATAAGCACAGTATCATCAGCAAAAAGTAACTGTGTCGATTCCCATTTTGAATTTGATTCCCCAAAATTTAATCCCACCCCTCTCCCGAACACCCTAGCATTTACTTCCTTTACAACCCCATCTATAAATATATTAAACAACCATGGTGACATTACACATCCCAGTCTAAGACCTACTTTTACCGGGAAATAGTCTCCCTCTCTTCTACACACCCTAACCTGAGCCTCACTATCCTCATAAAAACTCTTTGCAGCATTTAGTAACTTACCACCTATTCCATATACTTGCAACATCTGCCACATTGCTCCTCTATCCACTCTATCATATGCCTTTTCTAAATCCATAAATGCAATAAAAACTTCCTTACCTTTATCTAAATACTGTTCACATATATGCTTCAATGTAAACATTTTATCTACACATCCCCTACCCACTCTGAAACCTCCTTGCTCATCCGCAATCTTACATTCTGTCTTACCTCTAATTCTTTCAATTATAACCCTACTGTACACTTTTCCTGGTATACTCAGTAAACTTATTCCTCTATAATTTTTACAGTCTCTTTTGTCCCCTTTCCCTTTATATAAAGGGACTATACATGCTCTCTGCCAATCCCTAGGTACCTTCCCCTCTTTCATACATTTATTAAACAAAAGTACCAACCACTCCAACACTATATCCCCCCCTGCTTTTAACATTTCTGTCATGATCCCATCAGTTCCAGCTGCTTTACACCCCTTTCATTCTACGTAATGCCTCACGTACCTCCACCACACTTACATTCTGCTCTTCTTCACTCCTAAAAGATGGTTTACCTCCCTGACCAGTGCATGAAATTACTGCCTCTGTTTCTTCCTTAACATTTAAAAGTTCCTCAAAATATTCTCGCCATCTACCTAATACCTCCCTCTCCCCATCTACTAACTCCCCTACTCTGTTTTTAACTGACAAATCCATACTTTCCCTAGACTTTCTTAACTTGTTTAACTCACTCCAAAATTTTTTCTTATTTTCATTAAAATTTCTTGACAGTGCCTCTCCCACTCTATCATCTGCTCTCCTTTTGCACTCTCTCACCACTCTCTTCACCTTTCTTTTACTCTCCATATACTCTGCTCTTCTTATAACACATACATACCTATGATAAAGGTAGTAGGTAGGTAGACAGCATCTGCCCAGGGAGGTTCTACTGTCCTGCCAGGTGAGTGTAAAACAGAAGCTTGTAATTGTTTAACATGATGGTAGGATTTCTGGTGTATTTTTTCTGTCTCATAAACATGCAAGATTTCAGGTACTACTGCCTTGCTACTTCTACTTACACTTAGGTCACACTACACTTGCATGTACAAGCATATATATACACACTCCTCTGTGTTTTCTTTTATTTTCTTACTAGTTCTTGTTCTGGTTTATTTCCTTTTATCTCCATGGGGAAGTGGAATAGAATTCTTCCTCCGTAAGCCATGCATGTCATAAGAGGCGCTAAAATGCCAGGAACAAGGGGCTAGTAACCCCTTCTCCTGTATATACAGTACTTTACTAAATTTAAAAGGAGAAATTTTGTTTTTCCTTTATGACCACTGTACCTTGATGGGATATGGCCAGTACGTTGAAAGAAAAAAGACCTATGATAAAGTTTAATTGATAAATTTCACACAATAAGTTGAGAATTATCACTCTTTCACTGATGGGAAGCACTTCACAGCTTCTCGTAGTCTTTGAAGAACCACCATCATCACCACTTTTGTGCTTTAGGCCCACAACTAAACAAAATTAAGGTTATTTTCTGGCCAGGTAAACCATAGAAACCGAATCCGTGGATACAGAGGTTCTACTGTATATACAAATCTGGGATGGAGAGGAGGAGGGTCAAATCATCCCAGGAAGGGCTGGAGGGAGGGAGTATTGGAAGTTTGGAATGCAAAAGACTAGAACATCAAAAAGGCTTATATGAGTGCTTTAGATTATAGATTATAGTAAGTGAAGGCAAGTGTTTTTTATGAGCTGACGTGCTGTTTGAGTGTGAACAGGGAAACATTTATGAAGGGATTACGAGGGAACATGTCAGCCCGTCTTGAGTCCTGGAGGTGGCAAATACATAGTGTCTGCATTCCAAAGGAGGAGTAAGGATGTTGCAGTCTAGGGGTTCTTCTGAGCTATGATGTTAACAAGCTTCTGTCAAGACAGCAATTGAGCAAATGATGGTAAATGTTTTTCCTTTCTTTTGGGTCACACCATCCTTAGTAGGAGATGACTAATGTGTTGAGAAGGTTAATGATAATAATTTCATGTGTTTGCTTCAGATATTGACGAGTGTATTGAAAATGCCCCTTGCACTCGAGAAGAGCGTTGTGTCAACACATTTGGGAGTTATCGGTGCAGATCTCTCGACTGCAATGCAGGTTACCAGCGGGATGAACAAGGACGATGCAGAGGTAAGATTTTCAGTGCTGACTTTAATATATGTTTCATCTCATGTTGGTCACCCTACCTCAATGGAAGATGGTCAGTTTGTTAAAAAAAGCAATGTTATAGTGTATATTTTTCACAGATATTGATGAATGTGTGACTGGTGAACATACATGTCAAGTTCCAAAGGAGGAATGTATCAACACCCAAGGCAGCTACAGGTGTAAGACTCTTCCAGAGTGCCCACGAGGCTTAATTCGGGATCCTAGTTTACTCAGATGTGTTGGTAAGTTGCTTTATCACTATCACAAAATGAAATACTTGGTGTGGAATAATTTTTGAAAAATAATTGAGGATGCAATTTTCTTAATGATGATATGGCTTTGTGGAATTAATATTTAAGCAAATGATATATACCTATTCATATTTTCTGTACCTTATCAGCATATAACAAACTAGTGTCCCAGAATAACCATTTACTCAGTACTCTCACACAAGACACTCTGGTAATACAATGTCTAATACCTTATTCTCTTGCCATGTCATTTGTACATAATTTATATGCAATATTGCAAATGGCACCAGCAAGGATTAGTGTAATTTTACTCTATATAGGAAAACAAAATATGAAATTTGTCATGAATTGTGGATAAATTTAAAACATTCATTTTGTAGTTAGTTCTTATAGTTCAGATAGAAATTCAGGCAGTGTTTTAGCATTGGTTCACCTTCTTCATATTCAGCATACTTTGAAATGTAAAGGGAGTGTATGGATGTATATGTATGTAGTGAGAGTGTTGATCTTGGAAGAGCTTCTTCAATGAGATTTTTTGCTTCACATCTGTTAACTTCTTCTTTCAATGTACCAGCCGTATCCCACCGAGGCGGGGTGGCCCAAAAGGAAAAACGAAAGTTTCTCCTTTCAAATTTAGTAATATATGCAAGAGAAGGGGTTACTAGCCCCTTGCTCCCGGCATTTTAGTCGTCTCTTACGACATGCATGGCTTATGGAGGAAGAATTCTGTTCTACTTCCCCATGGAGATAAGAGGAAATAAACAAGAACAAGAACTAGAAAGAAAATAGAAGAAAACCCAGAGGGGTGTGTATATACATGTATATGCTTGTACATGTATGTGTAGTGTGACCTAAGTGTAAGTAGAAGTAACAAGATGTACCTGAAATCTTGCATGTTTATGAGACAGAAAAAAAGACCAGCAATCCTACCATCATGTAAAATAATTACAGGTTTCCATTTTACACTCACTTGGCAGGACGGTAGTACCTCCCTGGGCGGTTGCTGTCTACCAACCTACTACCTAGGATATCTGTTAACATGTGAGATAAATTGCAATTAGAATTAAGAAGGGATTCAGGTAAACTAGTCAGCTGGACTTGAGTCCCGGTGATGGGAAGCACAATGGGTGGGGATATTTGCAGTTTTTAACTGTATTATCAGTGCCCTTCTGGCAAGAAAGTGATGATGAAAGCATTTCTTCTTTATTGGGCCACCCTGCCTCGGTGGAAAATGGCCAGTGTTTCAAAAAATTAAGCTAAATTATTTTTTTATTTCTTCTTCTTTCAACACATCAGCCGTATCCCACCGAGGCGGGGTGGCCCAAAAGGAAAAAAACAAAAGTTTCTCCTTTTACATTTAGTAATATATACAGGAGAAGGGGTTACTAGCCCCTTGCTCCCGGCATTTTAGTTGCCTCTTACAACACGCATGGCGTACGGAGGAAGAATTCTGTTCCACTTCCCCATGGAGATAAGAGGAAATAAACAAGAACAAGAACTAGAAAGAAAATAAAAGAAAACCCAGAGGGGTATGTATATATACGCTTGTACATGTATGTGTAGTGTGACCTAAGTGTAAGTAGAAGTAGCAAGATGTACCTGAAATCTTGCATGTTCATGAGACAGAAAAAAGGACACCAGCAATCCTACCATCATGTAAAACAATCACAGGCTTTCGTTTTACACTCACTTGGCAGGACGGTAGTACCTCCCTGGGCGGTTGCTGTCTACCAACCTACTACCTAGGATATCTGTTAACATGTGAGATAAATTGCAATTAGAATTAAGAAGGGATTCAGGTAAACTAGTCAGCTGGACTTGAGTCCCGGTGATGGGAAGCACAATGGGTGGGGATATTTGCAGTTTTTAACTGTATTATCAGTGCCCTTCTGGCAAGAAAGTGATGATGAAAGCATTTCTTCTTTATTGGGCCACCCTGCCTCGGTGGAAAATGGCCAGTGTTTCAAAAAATTAAGCTAAATTATTTTTTTATTTATGATTATATAATTTTGTCACTACGTATACTGTAGGCTGCATACTTTCACACTTTACCGAGATTTTGTTCAATACCAGATGTTGATGAATGTACAGAAGGTACCCATGACTGCCATGAGGGAGAACGCTGCTACAATCAATATGGGACATATAAATGCAGAGCTTCTTCCAATTCCTGCACCAAAGGCTTCAGGTACAACGCTTACCAAAGACGTTGTAAGGGTATGTCTCATCTGTGACCATCAGCAAGTTTTTTGTGATAGTTTTGAGAGATATGCAGGTTCAAAAATTTAGTTCTCATATACAGTACTGTAGTAGGTTTTTTAGTGAATTGATTACAGAATATAATTTTGCTTTATAATTTTTATCATTTGTAAAAGCATTTTGGAAAAAATCATAAGTAGTTTCAAGAGGCAAATGATAGAAAAAAGATTAAAGAATAAGAGAGAGAGAAGCATGGGTAAATACTATACTTGGAATGTTGTATGTGAAGATACTTTTGTAGATTATTGAAGTTCACTACAGTAGATCATTAAAAATAACCTTGATTAATAAAAAAAGGTTAACTCGAACATTTTCAGTGGAAATACCTCTCAGCACCTGAGGTCAACTGGTTAGTTATGTCACATCTAAGATGAATGAGATTTTCAGTGTTTTTTTATAACATGAAATAAGAATATATTGTATAAAAAATATTTGGGAATTTTTTCATATTTGTGTTTAAATTTTAATGAAATGCTTTCATATAATTTAATTGTATTTTAATATATTTCAGATACTGTACAATTAAATTTGTTGAATAAGATGTATAGATGTGTCCTGTAGTTCATTTTGTGTCTTGTTGGTTTTCTTATATGTAGTGCATAAATGTATCTATTTATATGTGGGCAACATATTTCCCATGGGTAATATTGCTTTAAGGAAAATGTGCATGTTTAAATTGCTACTGCATTATGTATTTTGGTATATTTCTCATAAGCTTTTGTGTCAGTACCCTATTAAGGAGCCTTGTCTTCCACAGCAAAATACAGGTAAGGCAAATTTTCCTCACTTGAGCAGATCAGCCTTTAAGTTTCACAGGAGTGTGAGTTACTTGCATTTACTGCATAAGACCTGCTTAATAAACCCAGCTATTTCCACCTGAACAGTGTGAAACAAGTCATGGAACAAGTGGCTAACACACTGGCCTGTGAGTTCTAGGACTTGCTTGCCATGGATTCAAACCTCATCCATTCTGTGGTTTAGTATGAAACAAATGTGAAGGTTTCACATGTCTAATACTATGAACATGTTTTCTAGGGATTCTATTTTCATACTGACCTTTTTTATCCAACCTCTCTTCCAAATATAGCATTCACTTTTGCTTGCATTAGTTAGTGAATTTGCCCATGATCAAAGCAGCCACATTAATTATACACTAGTTATGTGTAAATTAACTATTGTTTGTATACAGCATAATTAACTCCCAGTAACAAAATTTCACAAACAGGCAGCTTACATCAGGCAGCTTCAGAGGTATTGCTGCCTTATAAAATGTTGGAAATTCCTTGCCCTGTTTAAGTTGGAGAACTGGATGCTTTGTCAGTACATTGCATTCTGGTTGATTCATTCACAGTGAAAACAGTTTACAGATACAATATATATTCCATCAAATTAATGATTCTGTGGTAGTGTTGCAGAAGTTGGTGGAGGATATTGAGAGGATGTATAGAAGATGGAAACTGCAATGAACAAGGAAATAAAGGCAAAAAGTTTAGGCAGTAAAAGACTGGATATCATACTGGAGGGAGAGAATAGGATAGAAATCCTTTTACCAGTAGTACAGTGGACCCTCAACCAGCGATGGCATCGATTAACGATAAATCTAACTAGCAATACATTTTAACGCAAAAATTTTGCCTCAACTAGCGCTTAAAAACCCGACAAGTGCTATTCGTTCCGTACGAGACGCGTCCACTTTGGCCTGAGCGCGCCTCACTTGTCCCGTGGGTGCCAGTGTTTACAAGCCAGCCACCGTGGTCGCTTCCAAACATACAACTGGAACATTTCATATTATCACAGCCTTTGTAGTGATTGCACCTGCAAAATAAGTCACCATGGGCCCCAAGAAAGCTTCTAGTGCCAACCCTACAGCAAAAAGAGTGAGAATTACTATGGAGATGAAGAAAGAGATCATTGCTAAGTATGAAAGTGGAGTGAGTGTCTCTGAGCTGGTCAGGTTGTATAATAAACCCCAATCAACCATCGCTACTATTGTGGGCAAGAAAACGGCAATCAAGGAAGCTGTTCTTGCCAAAGGTGCAACTATGTTTTCGAAACTGAGATCGCAAGCGGTAGAAGATGTTGAGAGACTCTTATTGGTGTGGATAAATGAGAAACAGATAGCAGGAGATCGCATCTCTCAAGCGATCATATGTGAAAAGGCTAGGAAGTTGCATGACGATTTAATTAAAAAAATGCCAGCAACTAGTGATGTGAGTGAATTTAAGGCCAGCAAAGGTTGGTTTGAGAGATTTAAGAAGCGTAGTGGCATTCATAGTGTGATAAGGCATGGTGAGGCTGCCAGTTCGGACCACAAAGCGGCTGAAAAATATGTGCAGGAATTCAAGGAGTACATAGACAGTGAAGGACTGAAACCTGAACAAGTGTTTAATTGTGATGAAACAGGCCTGTTTTGGAAGAAAATGCCAAGCAGGACCTACATTACTCAGGAGGAAAAGGCACTCCCAGGACATAAGCCTATGAAAGACAGGCTTACTCTGTTGATGTGTGCCAATGCTAGTGGTGATTGCAAAGTGAAGCCTTTATTGGTGTATCACTCTGAAACTCCCAGAGTGTTCAGGAAAAATGATGTCGTCAAGGCTAATTTGTGTGTGCTGTGGAGGGCAAACAGTAAGGCATGGATCACTAGGGACTTTTTCTATGACTGGTTACACCATGCATTTGCCCCCAATGTGAAAAATTACCTAATTGAAAAGAAATTAGACCTTAAGTGCCTCCTGGTATTAGACAGTGCTCCTGGTCATCCTTCAGACTTGGCAGAACGACTTTCTAGGGACAGGAGCTTCATTAAGGTGAAGTTTTTGCCTCCTAATACCCCTCCTCTCCTGCAGCCCATGGACCAGCAGGTCATTTCCAACTTCAAGAAACTGTACACAAAAGCTATGTTTGAAAGGTGCTTTGTAGTGACCTCAGAAACTCAACTGACTCTAAGAGAGTTTTGGTAAGATCATTTTACCATCCTCATTTGTGTAAACATTATAGGTAAGGCTTGGGAGGAAGTGACTAAGAGGACCTTGAACTCTGCTTGGAAAAAACTGTGGCCAGAATGTGTAGACAAAAGGGATTGTGAAGGGTTTGAGGCTAATGCTGAGAATCCTATGCCAGCTGAGGAATCCATTGTGGCATTGGGGAAGTCCTTGGGGTTGGAGATTAGTGGGGAGGATGTGGAGGAGCTGGTGGAGGACGACAATGAAGAACTAACCACTGATGAGCTGCTAGATCATCTTGAACAGCAAGAGGGCAGACCTGAGGAAACTGCTTCGGAGGAGGGGATAGAGAAATTGAAGAAGTTGCCTACTTCTAAGATTAAGGAAATGTGTGCAAAGTGGCTTGAAGTGCAAACCTTTTTTGATGAAAATCACCCTGACACAGCTACTGCAAGCCGTGTTGGCAACCTGTACACTGACAATGTTGTGAACAACTTTAGGAAAGTCATAAAGGAACGAGAGGTACAGGTATCTGTGGACAGATATGTTGTGCGACAGAAGTCCAGTGACTCTGAAGCTGGTCCTAGTGGCATTAAAAGAACAAGGGAAGTAACCCCAGAAAAAGACTTGCTACCTCAAGTGCTAATGGAAGGGGATTCCCCTTCTAAACGCTAACACCATCAACACTCTCCCCTCCTCCCATCCCATCAATCATCACTAGATCTTCAATAAAGGTAAGTGTCATGTAACTGTGCATGTCTTCTTCAGTTTGTGTGTATTAAAATTAATATTTCATGAGGTAAATTTTTTTTTTTCAATACTTTGGGGTGTCTTGCACGGATTAATTTGATTTCCATTATTTCTTATGGGGAAAATTAACTTGACTAACGATTATTTCGATTAACGATGAGCTCTCAGGAATGGATTAATATCGCTGGTTGAGGGTCCACTGTATTTAGATGGATTTTTTGAAAGGTGAAATAATTCATTAAACAGATAAGGGGAAAACAAGGCAGCTAGAGTGTTGAAAAGTCTGTTGAAATAAAGAAGTTTAACTGGATGCAAATTAAGAATGTATCGAAGTACAGTGGAACCTCTACTTGCGAGCGTGTCCACGTGCGAGTTTTTCTAAATACGAGCAGTCGATGGGTCGATATTTTGCTTCCATACGCGAGCAAAATTTCCATAAGCAAGCAGACCTCAAGGCAGGTTCCTTGACACTGGTGAGGGGCTCTTGCTCTTGGGAATTGTATCTCATTTGTTTGTTGGACTATCTTATTGATACTTGGGCAATGTATGATGGAAAGATGCTTCTTAACTTACACCAAAAATGAAAGAAATCTAAGCATAAATAATGGAGTTCACTTCTCAGCAATTAGCCACCCCTTAGCGGTATTTTCGTATTGTTTTTATGGTTGTATTCTCGTTTTTTTTATCTCATTTGATAGAATGGAAGATATATTACAGAAATAGATATGATTTTGATTGCTTTCCCGACGAAAAGTACCTTGAAATTCAGCTCAACGTAGGAGAAATGGTCCATTGCTTGGCTATGTTTCAGAGTAAACAAATGTAACAGAAATTATAGTATTTCTTACCTCAAATTGTGGGTGCTGGTGTTTGTGGATGATTGTGAAGAGAGTGTAGAGTTATGTTGTGGCCCTACTGGGCTGAGATGGATGGTAGAGGTTCTGGTATTGAAGTTGATGGTTGTACTGGAGTGTCTAACTTTAAGTCATTCAATCAAGTCATTCATTAAGTCAGTCATGTCATTCAGTAAGTCAGTCAAGTGATTCAGTAAGTCAGTCAAGTGATTCAGTAAGTCTCAAGTCATTCAGTAAGTCAGTCAAGTTGTTCAGTAAGTCAGTCAAGTCGTTCAGTAAGTCAGTCAAGTCGTTCAGTAAGTCAGTCAAGTCGTTCAGTAAGTCAGTCAAGTCGTTCAGTAAGTCAGTCAAGTCCTTCATTAAGTCAGTCAAGTCATTCAGTAAGTCAGTCAAGTCATTCAATAAGTCAGTCATCCAGTCAGTAAGTCAGTCAGTCAAACTCGTGCTAGATGACGGTCTACTGTACATTTTATTCATTTTAGAGTATATATCAGGTTTCTGTGTTATTTATATTGTTTATTATGTCATATTAGATGTAGTGAGATAGATAAATAAGCCGTAGAGTTGATATTAGCGAAATTATTGAAGTACAGAATTCCACTGGAACGGATTAATTGCATTTCACTTAATTTAAATGAGGAAAATTTACTCTGCAAACGAGCAAATCCAGTTGCGAGCAAGGTCTTGGAACGGATTAAACTCGTAAGTAGAGGTTCCACTGTATAAGAGGGCCACAGCTAAAATGAGTCTTTGAATGTTATGACAAAGAGGAAGCTGGAGGCAGCAGCATTATCATGTTTGAAATCAGTCTATAAATATTATGTAGAGAATAAGGGGTGAAATAATTCATAAGTAGTGCAGTGGTATGACTGGCATAATTTAGGAAGTGGAAGAATGCTGTAGGTAGTAGATTGGTAGACAGCAACCACCCAGGGAAGTACTACCGTCCTGCCAGATGACTGTGAAACAGAAACCTGTAACTGTTTTGCACGATGGTAGGATTGCTGGTTTCTTTTTCTGTCTCATAAACATGCTAGATAACAGGGATATCTTGCTACTCCTACTTACACTTTGGTCACACTTCACAGACACGCACATGCATATATATATACATACATCTAGGTTTTTCTCCTTTTTCTAAATAGCTCTTGTTCTTCTTTATTTCTTCTATTGTCCATGGGGAAGTGGAAAAGAATCTTTCCTCCGTAAGCCATGGGTGTCGTATGAGGCGACTAAAATGCCGGGAGCAATGGGCTAGTAACCCCTTCTCCTGTAGACATTTACTAAAAAAGAGAAGAAGAAAAACTTTATAAAACTGGGATGCTTAAATGTGCGTGGATGTAGTGCGGATGACAAGAAACAGATGATTGCTGATGTTATGAATGAAAAGAAGTTGGATGTCCTGGCCCTAAGCGAAACAGAGCTGAAGGGGGTAGGGGAGTTTCAGTGGGGGGAAATAAATGGGATTAAATCTGGAGTATCTGAGAGAGTTAGAGCAAAGGAAGGGGTAGCAGTAATGTTAAATGATCAGTTATGGAAGGAGAAAAGAGAATATGAATGTGTAAATTCAAGAATTGTGTGGATTAAAGTAAAGGTTGGATGCGAAAAGTGGGTCATAATAAGCGTGTATGCACCTGGAGAAGAGAGGAATGTAGAGGAGAGAGAGAGATTTTGGGAGATGTTAAGTGAATGTATAGGAGCCTTTGAACCAAGTGAGAGAGTAATTGTGGTAGGGGACCTGGATGTTAAAGTAGGAGAAACTTTTAGAGAGGGTGTGGTAGGTAAGTTTGGGGTGCCAGGTGTAAATGATAATGGGAGCCCTTTGATTGAACTTTGTATAGAAAGGGGTCTAGTTATAGGTAATACATATTTTAAGAAAAAGAGGATAAATAAGTATACAAGATATGATGTAGGGCGAAATGACAGTAGTTTGTTGGATTATGTATTGGTAGATAAAAGACTGTTGAGTAGACTTCAGGATGTACATGTTTATAGAGGGGCCACAGATATATCAGATCACTTTCTAGTTGTAGCTACACTGAGAGTAAAAGGTAGATGGGATACAAGGAGAATAGAAGCATCAGGAAAGAGAGAGGTGAAGGTTTATAAACTAAAAGAGGAGGCAGTTAGGGTAAGATATAAACAGCTATTGGAGGATAGATGGGCAAATGAGAGCATAGGCAATGGGGTCGAAGAGGTATGGGGTAGGTTTAAAATGTAGTGTTAGAGTGTTCAGCAGAAGTTTGTGGTTACAGGAAAGTGGGTGCAGGAGGGAAGAGGAGCGATTGGTGGAATGATGATGTTAAAGAGAGTAGTAATGGAGAAAAAGTTAGCATATGAGAAGTTTTTACAAAATAGAAGTGATGCAAGGAGGGAAGAGTATATGGAGAAAAAGAGAGAGGTTAAGAGAGTGGTGAAGCAATGTAAAAAGAGAGCAAATGAGAGAGTGGGTGAGATGTTATCAACAAATTTTGTGAAAATAAAAAAAAGTTTTGGAGTGAGATTAACAAGTTAAGGAAGCCTAGAGAACAAATGGATTTGTCAGTTAAAAATAGGAGAGGAGAGTTATTAAATGGAGAGTTAGAGGTATTGGGAAGATGGAGGGAATATTTTGAGGAATTGTTAAATGTTGATGAAGATAGGGAAGCTGTGATTTCGTGTATAGGGTAAGGAGGAATAACATCTTGCAGGAGTGAGGAAGAGCCAGTTGTGAGTGTGGAGGAAGTTCGTGAGGCAGTAGGTAAAATGAAAGGGGATAAGGCAGCCAGGATTGATGGGATAAAGATAGAAATGTTAAAAGCAGGTGGGGATATAGTTTTGGAGTGGTTGGTGCAATTATTTAATAAATGTATGGAAGAGGGTAAGGTACCTAGGGATTGGCAGAGAGCATGCATAGTTCCTTTGTATAAAGGCAAAGGGGATAAAAGAGAGTGCAAAAATTATAGGGGGATAAGTCTGTTGAGTATACCTGGTAAAGTGTATGGTAGAGTTATTATTGAAAGAATTAAGAGTAAGACGGAGAATAGGATAGCAGATGAACAAGGAGGCTTTAGGAAAGGTAGGGGGTGTGTGGACCAGGTGTTTACAGTGAAACATATAAGTGAACAGTATTTAGATAAGGCTAAAGAGGTCTTTGTGGCATTTATGGATTTGGAAAAGGCGTATGACAGGGTGGATAGGGGGGCAATGTGGCAGATGTTGCAGGTGTATGGTGTAGGAGGTAGGTTACTGAAAGCAGTGAAGAGTTTTTACGAGGATAGTGAGGCTCAAGTTAGAGTATGTAGGAAAGAGGGAAATTATTTCCCAGTAAAAGTAGGCCTTAGACAAGGATCTGTGATGTCACCGTGGTTGTTTAATATATTTATAGATGGGGTTGTAAGAGAAGTGAATGCGAGGGTCTTGGCAAGAGGCGTGGAGTTAAAAGATAAAGAATCACACATAAAGTAGGAGTTGTCACAGTTGCTCTTTGCTGATGACACTGTGCTCTTGGGAGATTCTGAAGAGAAGTTGCAGAGATTGGTGGATGAATTTGGTAGGGTGTGCAAAAGAAGAAAATTAAAGGTGAATACAGGAAAGAGTAAGGTTATGAGGATAAAAAGATTAGGTGATGAAAGATTGGATATCAGATTGGAGGGAGAGAGTATGGAGGAGGTGAATGTATTCAGGTATTTGGGAGTGGACGTGTCAGCGGATGGGTCTATGAAAGATGAAGTGAATCATAGAATTGATGAGGGGAAAAGGGTGAGTGGTGCACTTAGGAGTCTGTGGAGACAAAGAACTTTGTCCTTGGAGGCAAAGAGGGGAATGTATGAGAGTATAGTTTTACCAACACTCTTATATGGGTGTGAAGCATGGGTGATGAATGTTGCAGCGAGGAGAAGGCTGGAGGCAGTGGAGATGTCATGTCTGAGGGCAATGTGTGGTGTGAATATAATGCATAGAATTCGTAGTTTGGAAGTTAGGAGGAGGTGCGGGATTACCAAAACTGTTGTCCAGAGGGCTGAGGAAGGGTTGTTGAGGTGGTTCGGACATGTAGAGAGAATGGAGCGAAACAGAATGACTTCAAGAGTGTATCAGTCTGTAGTGGAAGGAAGGCAGGGTAGGGGTCGGCCTAGGAAAGGTTGGAGGGAGGGGGTAAAGGAGGTTTTGTGTGCGAGGGGCTTGGACTTCCAGCAGGCATGCGTGAGCGTGTTTGATAGGAGTGAATGGAGACAAATGGTTTTTAATACTTGACGTGCTGTTGGAGTGTGAGCAAAGTAACATTTATGAAGGGGTTCAGGGAAACCGGCAGGCCGGACTTGAGTCCTGGAGATGGGAAGTACAGTGCCTGCACTCTGAAGGAGGGGTGTTAATGTTGCAGTTTAAAAACTGTAGTGTAAAGCACCCTTCTGGCAAGACAGTGATGGAGTGAATGATGGTGAAAGTTTTTCTTTTTTGGGCCACCCTGCCTTGGTGGGAATCAGCCAGTGTGATAATAAAAAAAAAAAAAAAAAAAAAAGAATGCTGTTGAGATGATTTGGTTATTTGGAAAGATGGAGCAGAATTGGTTGACCAAGAGGGTGTATAAATCTGTCATGGATGGAAGTAGGTGTAAGGAACATTCAATAAAGGATTGGATGAAGAGTGTGAAGGAGGAAATTTGAGTGATAGGGACTTGAAAAATTAAGTAAATAAGTGTTTAATGCATTACATAAAAGTAGCTGAGACAGTTGTTTTTTGGGATGATTCGATATGTTGGAGTATGAGTAAGGTGCATAACATTTCTGAAGGGATTCAGAGAAAATGAACTTTGTATATGTCTTCCAATATTTCATTGTCATTAACTTTTTAAACATCTTCAGATATTTTAGTTGTCATGAACTTTTTATACATCTTTAGATATTTTTAAAAAGTCATGAACTTGTATACATTTTGAGATATTTTAAAAATTGTCATGATCTTTGTATGCACCTTCAGATATTTTGTAAATTGTCATGAACTTTTTCATCTTCAGATATTGATGAATGTGCAGAAAAGGCAGATACTTGTGAGGGATCAACCCAGACATGTGTAAACTCTGTGGGTAGCTTCAGGTGTATTGATCGTCAGCCCACTTGTGACTTTGGCTTCCAGTATGACGAAGAGCTGAAAGCCTGTGTAGGTAAGTCAAGTGGAATTCTTCCCTTCTCAAGGTATTTCTGCTAAGTTGTGTTTAACTTTCAAAACACTGTTGTGTACATTGTGTATACATTTTTGCTTTCATTGCTAATGAAGTGTTTGTGTTGAGATGTTTGTCTTATGTCTCTAGTTCTTGAGGTGCTGCTTTCCTTTTGTGGAAAATTTAGTAATATTTGATGAAGATTATGTTGTCTGATCTGCAAACATTTATGGTTATATTAATTAGATTTTAGTTTTAGATAAATATACCCAACAAATCATCTATTGCATAAGCATTTTTGTACATTCTAACTGAAATACATATTCAGGTTCCATTAGTGCAAACTTGTTAGGGACTGAGGGTGGGTTAGCACAATCAGGATTTCACTACGAACATAAATCAAACTTGAGGTTCTTTTGAATTATGGACGGGACTAGTGAGTCATCAGAGGAGCTTCAACCCCAACAATGGGCTGCCATTATTTTCCTTATATTCGGTTCATAATCTGTAAGTTGAAGCTACACTCTTACCTCCTGAGGCCTTGTTGAATAGATTTCCCACTGCTCAGAGGCATTTGTTAGTATCTTGAAGTCATGTGAACTGAAACTTAAGAGATTTGAGTCTTATTTTGATTTCTTGGCGAGCTGGAATACAGTACTCATCTCTGAAAGTTGGGAAGTGTCAATTCCATGTGGTGGGCCAATTGTAAGACAGGCAGTAGGGTCTATTTCCCTCTTATAATTGGCTCCATGGAAAACTGCTGACTTGACTGGAGCTCTGAAAGTCAGAAAATCTTGAGTAAGTGGAGGGCTTAAAGGATATAACAGTTGTAGTCTTTTACTCACCATAACAGCTTTCAGACTTGTCATAACCTTATCTTCACCTACTTTGCAGCAATAGCTGATCTAAACAACAGGGAAGAACCATTGTGATGTATCAGTAAGCCCATGATTATGTTTAGTTGATAATGAAAGCCTTGGTACATTTTTTTTTTTTTTTTCAACAAGTCGGCCGTCTCCCACCGAGGCAGGGTGACCCAAAAAAGAAAGAAAATCCCCAAAAAGAAAATACTTTCATCATCATTCAACACTTTCACCACACTCGCACATTATCACTGTTTTTGCAGAGGTGCTCAGAATACAACAGTTTAGAAGCATACACATATAAAGATACACAACATATCCCTCCAAACTGCCAATATCCCAAACCCCTCCTTTAAAGTGCAGGCACTGTACTTCCCATTTCCATGACTCAAGTCCGACTATATGAAAATAACCGGTTTCCCTGAATCCCTTCACTAAATATTACCCTGCTTTCACTCCAACAGATCGTCAGGTCCCAAGTACCGTTTGTCTCCATTTACTCCTATCTAACATGCTCACGCACGCTTGCTGGAAGTCCAAGCCCCTTGCCCACAAAACCTCCTTTACCCCCTCTCTCCAACCCTTTCGAGGACGACCCCTACCCCGCCTTCCTTTCCCTATAGATTTATATGCTTTCCATGTCATTCTACTTTGATCCATTCTCTCTAAATGACCAAACCACCTCAACAACCCCTCTTCTGCCCTCTGACTAATACTTTTATTAACTCCACACCTTTTCCTAATTTCCACACTCCGAATTTTCTGCATAATATTTACACCACACATTGCCCTTAAACAGGACATCTCCACTGCCTCCAACCATCTCCTCGCTGCTGCATTTACCACCCAAGCTTCACACACATATAAGAGTGTTGGTACTACTATACTTTCATACATTCCCTTCTTTGCCTCCATAGATAACGTTTTTTGACTCCACATATACCTCAACGCACCACTCACCTTTTTTCCCTCATCAATTCTATGATTAACCTCATCCTTCATAAATCCATCCTCCGACACGTCAACTCCCAAGTATCTGAAAACATTCACTTCTTCCATACTCCTCCTCCCCAATTTGATATCCAATTTTTCTTTATCTAAATCATTTGACACCCTCATCACATTACTCTTTTCTATGTTCACTTTCAACTTTCTACCTTTACACACATTCCCAAACTCATCCACTAACCTTTGCAATTTTTCTTTAGAATCTCCTATAAGCACAGTATCATCAGCAAAAAGTAACTGTGTCAATTCCCATTTTGAATTTGATTCCCCAAAATTTAATCCCACCCCTCTCCCGAACACCCTAGCATTTACTTCCTTTACAACCCCATCTATAAATATATTAAACAACCATGGTGACATTACACATCCCTGTCTAAGACCTACTTTTACCGGGAAGTAGTCTCCCTCTCTTCTACACACCCTAACCTGAGCCTCACTATCCTCATAAAAACTCTTTACAGCATTTAATAACTTACCACCTATTCCATATACTTGCAACATCTGCCACATTGCTCCTCTATCCACTCTATCATATGCCTTTTCTAAATCCATAAATGCAATAAAAATACTCACTACCTTTATCTAAATACTGTTCACATATATGCTTCAATGTAAACACTTGATCTACACATCCCCTACCCACTCTGAAACCTCCTTGCTCATCCGCAATCCTACATTCTGTCTTACCTCTAATTCTTTCAATTATAACCCTACCGTACACTTTTCCTGGTATACTCAGTAAACTTATTCCTCTATAATTTTTACAGTCTCTTTTGTCCCCTTTCCCTTTATATAAAGGGACTATACATGCTCTCTGCCAATCCCTAGGTACCTTCCCCTCTTTCATACATTTATTAAACAAAAGTACCAACCACTCCAACACTATATCCCCCCCTGCTTTTAACATTTCTGTCATGATCCCATCAGTTCCAGCTGCTTTACCCCCTTTCATTTTACGTAATGCCTCACGTACCTCCCCCACACTTACATTCTGCTCTTCTTCACTCCTAAAAGATGGTATACCTCCCTGACCAGTGCATGAAATTACTGCCTCTGTTTCTTCCTTAACATTTAAAAGTTCCTCAAAATATTCTCGCCATCTACCTAATACCTCCATCTCCCCATCTACTAACTCCCCTACTCTGTTTTTAACTGACAAATCCATACTTTCCCTAGGCTTTCTTAACTTGTTTAACTCACTCCAAAATTTTTTCTTATTTTCATTAAAATTTCTTGACAGTGCCTCTCCCACTCTATCATCTGCTCTCCTTTTGCACTCTCTCACCACTCTCTTTACCTTTCTTTTACTCTCCATATACTCTGCTCTTCTTATAACACTTCTGCTTTGTAAAAACCTCTCATAAGCTACCTTTTTCTCTTTTATCACACCCTTTACTTCATCATTCCACCAATCACTCCTCTTTCCTCCTGCCCCCACCCTCCTATAACCACAAACTTCTGCCCCACATTCTAATACTGCATTTTTAAAACTATTCCAACCCTCTTCACCCCCCCCACTACTCATCTTTGCACTAGCCCACCTTTCTGCCAATAGTCGCTTATATCTCACCCGAACTTCCTCCTCCCTTAGTTTATCTCACCCGAACTTCCTCCTCCCTTAGTTTATACACTTTCACCTCCCTCTTACTTGTTGTTGCCACCTTCCTCTTTTCCCATCTACCTCTTACTCTAACTGTAGCTACAACTAAATAATGATCCGTTATATCAGTTGCCCCTCTATAAACATGTACATCCTGGAGCCTACCCATCAACCTTTTATCCACCAATACATAATCTAATAAACTACTTTCATTACGTGCTACATCATACCTTGTATATTTATTTATCCTCTTTTTCATAAAATATGTATTACTTATTACCAAATCTCTTTCTACACCTAGCTCAATTAAAGGCTCCCCATTTACATTTACCCCTGGCACCCCAAATTTACCTACTACTCCCTCCATAACATTTTTACCCACTTGGTACATGCCCTCAGTAAATAAACCTGTTACTATATGTAGGTAATCACAAATACTATACTCTAATCAAGAATGAGGAAGGCATGCTGTGAGGCAGCATGACTTGGGGTTAGATGGCACTTTTCACAATCTCAAACATAGCTCATTACCTCACCATGTAGTTAGGGTTACATTGCTACATCAATAAAATATTTAATTGGTAAATAACTTTTCAAGTATTGCCAGGTTTCTGAATTTGTCAGCACACAGTCTGACACCAAAAATTAGATTTTAGTATACCTACATCACACCTGTTCCATCATTACTTCTTTTCAACATGAAGATGGTAATAATGTTGGTAGAATTACCGACAACATGTAAAATAAAAGGACACAAGTGCAACTAATGTGACATTTTTATTGTGGCAACATTTCGCTCTCCAGGAACTTTGTCAAGCTGTTACAAACAATATATGGACACAGAGGGTATATATAGGCTTAGAGTGAGGTGTAATACTAGTGGTAGTAGTAGTAGTAATATAAGTTGTAGTAGTAGTAGTAGTAGTAATACAATTAATTTGCACTTGAGTAAAAGGATATAAAAGCTATTACATGGGTAACATAAAAATAAGTTAGACAAATATTTCTGTTGGAGGTTGAATTAGAGAAGGCCTGTTTCAGTGTTCATTCTCTGTAATGTGCTTGTGTAGTATTAACAGGAGAGACTATGTGATGGCAGGGTTTACAGTTTTTAGGAGGATTCTTACTAAGACTTCAGAGATGGTGAAGCTGCCTTTATTTTGTTTAATTGTATTAGCTACAGCGATTAGTGATGATTCAAGGCACTTACGTCTGCAGAAATTAGTTTTTTTGATCATTAACTGGGCGTCTCTGAATTTCATAAGATGGTTGGTGGAATTCCGGTGTTGTACGCAGGCGTTGTTCAAGTTATTGTTCCTACAGGCATAAATGTGTTCATTGAGGGGTGTCAAGGTTCTTGCTGTTTCACCTGCATAAATCTTGTCGTAGCCTCCACAGGATATAGTGTAAACCCATGCGTTGCCAATTTCGTGTGTCCATATATTGTTTGTAACGGCTTGACAAAGCTCCTGGAGAGCGAAACATTGCCACAATAAAAATGTCACATTAGTTGCACTTGTGTCCTTTTACTT